ATTTGAAATAATGAGTGACAACTGCTTTATGTAATATATTTTGAACAATTTAACTTTTTACTATACTTACAAATGTCAAAGATATTTTTTTTTGCTATTAAGATAAGATAATTATCTCAGATAATCTATACCATCGTCTCAGCTGCATAATAGATGTATGACCTGCATATTTTTCGAAATTAAAATAACTGCAAATAATAATTAAAATCATATCGCAGTTTTTTTCAATAGAAATCATGTGCATTGCAGTTTGACTCTTTGCAATCTAAAAGTGAGTGACAACATCTGTCACGGCAATTATCAAATGATTTGTTTACCCTGAAACAGAGACGTCTCTACAGGGGGATGAGAGCATTCTGGGTGGGACGAGCCATGGATGAATCAGTATGAATGGACCGGTAGAGTAAAGGTGTTTGCCAGGGTATGAGTACAGCGGCTGGCAACACACGTGTCTGTGAGTCATATGGAAACGTAAAGCTACTGAAAGCGAGTCACATCCCTGCAGTCTTTACGAAGGAAGAAGTGCATCAAACTACAAAGCTTAAAAGCTTTTCCAACTGACTGATTCTCAATAGCCAAACCGGAGCATCTTAATACGGCTGCTAATGCAGATGAGATCAGGGGGAGATCTGAGGTCAGATGCGCAGACGGGTTGGACTCAGCTGGCATCACTTAGACCCTGTGTGAGGAAGGGCCGCTGAAGGGAGGTGAGGCGAATTTATCCAAGACGTGTTGGGGAGAGATTTACGACAACAGTCGGACAGACTGAGAGCGGGCCGATTGGGTCAAAGAAGAGGAGGTGGTCAGTTTTTTTCGAAAAAAGGGATGAGCGAGGACTATCCTGTCTAATCATCGCCCTGCAGTGGGCCATATTTTAGCCATCTACCTGCCGAAGCAGCCTGAACGCGTTGGGCACGGAGGCCCCTCTTCAAAGAGCGTCTCGAATCGGCCGTGCGCTCGCACTGTGAGGGAGGGGGTTATTAATGGCCCCAAACACCAATGCTAATGGGGCTCAGCTTTACTGGCTCACCATCAAAGACTCCCATCAGCCCCTGCTACAGATAAAAGGGACAGTTCAACGGATGAGCAGCGCTTATACAAATTGTTACAAGACCCCATTCTCCAACCAATTCTCTAACAACTGCCTACAGTTCATGAAAATCCCTGTGAAAATGGGGCTTTTCACACTGTTTGGCTGTCATATGGGTGTTAGATAAGCAATATTAAACAAGTGAGCTGGTTTGGCTCTATTTGGTTCTGCCTCTGTAGTTTTCATTTTAAAAGATCATGAAACTGACACAAAAGCAAAAAAGTATGCAGCACAATTAAAAAATATCTTCTTTTGACCACATTTTAAGGCAGCATCATGTGCATTCTTAACGGATGAGATAATACCATATATGCACTGTGAAAAGCTTAGTGAAAACACAATCCAAGATGGCGGACAATGCTAAACAATGTTTTTTGTTTAGAGTAAAAAAATATATAGTAAAATAATATAATTAATCAAATATAAATATATAATGTAATAAAATTATAAATAATTGAAAAAAACCCATAAATATTTATTAAAAAAAAATTTATCAAAAATAACTAATTAATTTAATAAAATACAATTTAATAAATACAAAAAAGTGCTGTTAAAATGTGTTAAATCTAATTAAAAATATAAAATTTTCAATTAATGCATTGCGAAAAGCTCAGTATAAATAACTAAATGCTAAAAATAAATATAATTCAATTAATACCATAAAGTATCAATAAAATGTATTAGATCAATTAAAAATTAGCATTTTTTTCAATACCTGCAATATATATATATATATATATATATATATACTGTATATACACATACACAGTGGGTAAAATAAGTATTGAACACCAGAATCAGAATCAGAATGAGCTTTATTGCCAGGTATGTTTTAATCGAAAACCGGTGAAATATCGGGTGGTGTGTACTGCCGAATGTCCAGCAAATCGTCTCCGGTGAAACTGATTGCAGGGATATAACTAAAGACAGGACAAACTAACAAAAACATAAAAACAACTGCGGAGCACGCCACGGAGGCAGCCATCACCGTCAGCGCCATCATGCTTCCATGAACACGTCACAAAATGGTGAACACGTCACCATTTTTCTCAGTAAATATATTTCTAAAGGTGCTATTGACATGAAATTTTCACCAGATGTCGGTGACAACCCAAGTAATCCATTCATAGAAAGAAAACAAAACAAATAAGTTCAGAAATTATGTTCTGTGTAATAAAATGGATTGACCCAGGGAAAAAGTATTGAACACGCTCATTGAAATGTATTTAACACTTCGTACAAAAGCCTTTGTTGTTAATGACAGCTTCAAGACACCTCCTATTTGGAGAAACTAGTCGCATGCATTGCTCAGCTGTGATTTTGGCCCATTCTTCCACATAAACACAAACAATCTTATAATGCATCAGCAAAATAAGCAAAAATGAATAAAATTCAATGAACACCAAAATCTTTTCATAATCGGTCATTTATGAGGTTTCACTTTAGAAGCAGTTGCCTATGTAGGCTCGCTAGGTTTTGGAACAGAGCCTTTGCTTCTCTTTGAAATAGTTTTTTTAATGTCCTTCCTATCAATATATGTCAGGCTGAAAAAGAAAAAGTTCATTGATCCAACTCATCAAACTGGAGTGTTTTCCATGCAGCTTTCAAGAGTCAGTTAGTCAATCATCACATCCTTTTTTGAGTCACACACTGTGGTGAAATACAGTACTTCTACTGGCTGTGAGGTCATTGGGGTTGCCCATCCAATAAAAGCACATTGGCCTTGCAATAAATTCAGCCCTAAACAGGCCACTCTCTGCCACATGTGCCCACATAAAATACCTGACTGCAGCTGCTGGTAATATAAATAGGCTGAGCGAGTAAATAACTATACACTGAGATAAATACATAAACACTGTAAGGCACATATCACTCTGTGTTAGTTAAGAGTGTTTACCGATTAGTCAGTTAAAGGGTCTACTGATTCTTTCATCAATATGGTGTCACTGCCCAACTTGGATCCATTCTGCACATTTCCAAATAAAATGCAATTCTGGGTGGGAAACATGGATTCTGAACCGGTCACTAAAACATGCTGGTCTCAAACCAGGAACAACTAACATCAGTATCTGAGGGCTGGGATAATAGGATATAATGGGATAAAAACTACACAGCAAAAATTACTTATAGGTATTAAAAAGGGCTGGGTATCGATTCAGATGTACCGATTCGATTCAATTCGATTCGATTCTCGATCCAAAGATTTTCTATTGGATTCAAGTCAGGTGATTGGCTGAGCCATTCTAGCAGCTTTACTTTTTTTCTCTGAGACCAGTTGAGAGTTTCCTTGGCTGTGTTTGGGATTATTGTCTTGCTGAAATGTCCATCCTCGTTTTATCTTCATCATCCGTGTTGGAACTGAACCAGCTAAGATTAATTTCCACTGACAAAGGCCAGGATTGCTTTCTAATTACTGACTGGGTTTCCATGCCTTTTTGCACCTCCCTTTTTTCATGTGTTGAATACTTTTCCCTGTGTCATTCCATTTTATTACATGTAACAATTTCTGAACTTATTTGTTTTGTTTGTATGTATGTGTTTGACGATTCGCAAGCTCTCGATTCGATTCGATTCGATTCGATTCTCGATTTTTTGATTACATTCAGTGGATATAGTTTTAATACAAATGCTATTGATATTTCTAAAAAATGAACAGTAAACATCAGTTTACAAATGGTGAATTAATAAAAAGAAATTAAGAACCACATGCCTGTATTTTAACCCTATTCTTTTTTTTGTACAGGGTCCTTTTTTAAACAATAAAAAGGCCCTATAAAATGTTATGAATTTTTCTGGTAATAAGATGAAGGCATAAAACATTAATTTAATTTATCCTAATCAAATGAAAATTAATCCCTTTTATTTTTTGGCAAACAAAATGCTGCACAACAGAGGATTACTGTTAAAATGAAAAAGAAAACAGATGTGATTATTCCTTTAAAAATAAAGATTTATTCATATTTATTAGCAGTAGTAGCATTGAGTCTTAAGACTGCTAAATAGTAATATATTGTGACAGTTTCTTAACGTTAAACGAAACTTTTATTTTGACGGGTTGCTGTGAAGAACTTCCAGCTGCTGTGTATGTGATATGATAATATATTCTGACAGTTTCTTAACGTTAAACTAAACTTTTATTTTGACGTGTTGCTGTGAAGAACTTCCAGCTGCTGTGTATGTGATATGACGGTAGTTTTCTCAAATGAAACGGTAAATGCTAATGAAGTGACTCTCAGAGCAGCTGGAATGACATTCGTGTTCATATCATCATATAGTGAGACGGTGAAAACACCGCGAGCGTCATCCGGGCTTTAGTATGTGTGTAGTAAACAAAACAGTGCGCCGCACCATCCGCCATTCATTCATTGCGGAAATCATGGCGCCTTATGCGTGATATCAAATGCTTCCGCATATTAATAGTAGGCTATTACTATAGCATTTCACCTGAGCATTGCGAATCACGCGTATGGCCATGATAAGCGCTAAATGAATGACAGGCTTTATGTTGTAACATCGCGCAAGGTAAATAAGGGTGACATCTAGTGGAGAAGACTAATTATAAGATTCACGTTAATCAGATCTTGTTTTAAATGTGTGCTGAAATAAATACCGGAAAAAATCGATTCGCGGCTTTTGAGAATCGATATCGAATCGACGTCATTTAAAAAAACGATTAATTAAAAAAAAATTTTTTTTGCCCAGCCCTAGTATTAAAGAGTTTTAAGTCTATTGACTTGATTTCTAGTACAAAAACTCATAATGGCATGATGGCAAATACTGTCAGCTCATGATGGCAAAAAGATGCTGAGCTGCATTATATATGTAAACAAAGACCATAATATGCTATGTGAAGGTTATATAGACCGTCTGTCATTTTGGTGTAAAATGTATATATGGGTGACGGTGTTACCTGAATGCTGCCAGATAGTCTGCGTCTCCCATGGGCGGCTCCAGACCTCCGGTGAAGGCCATGTTCACGTTAAAGCCCATGCCTGGCCCGATGCCCACCTACAGACACAAATACAATTCAATTACAGTGCCATGAAAAGGTTTTTGCCCCCTTCCTGTTTTTTTCTTGTTTTTTTTTGCATATTTGTCACTCTTAAAAGATTCAGATCATTAAACAAATTTTCATATTACACAAAGATAATGCAAGTAAATACAAAATGCAGTTTTTAAACGATGATTTCATTTATTAAGGGAAAAAAGCTGTCCAAACCTGCCTGGCACTACATGAAAAAGTAATTGCCCCCTAAATCTAATAACAGGTTGTGCTACCCTTTGCAGCAACAACTGCAATCAAGCGTTTGCGATAACTGGCAATGAGTCTTTCACATCGCTGTGGAGGAATTTTGGCCCACTCTTCTTTGCAGAATTGTTTTAATTCAGCCACATTGGAGGGTTTTCGAGCATGAATGGACTGTTTCAGGTCATGTCACAGCATCTCAATCGCATTTAAGTCCGGACTTTGTTTATGACCTCCTGGATGAGTCGTCGTTGCGCTCTTGGAGTAATTTTTGTAGGCCGGCCACTCCTGTGAAGGTTCACCACTGTTCCAAGTTTTCTCCATTTGTGGATAATGACTCTGACCGTGGTTCGCTGGAGTCCCAAAGTTTGAGAAAAATCACAGTTCTTTCATGATTTAACAGAAGGGGGCAATTAATTTTTCACATAGGGTCAGGTAGGTTTGGACAGCTTTTTTCCCTTAATAAATGAAATCATTTAAACATTGCATTTGTATTTACTTGCATTATCTTTGTGTAATATTAAAATTTGTTTGATGATCTGAATCTTTTAAGTGTGACAAATATGCAAAAAAATTAAAAACAGGAAGGGGGCAAAAAACTTTTCACAGCACTGTAAATGTGCGGTTTAGTAAACTCCCTCTAATTCCCAAAAAAGCTCTTACTGGAGCAGATGAGCAGGTATTATGAATCATGCACATTCAAACATCCCCAGAGAAACCGCTAAATTAAGGCTGATATCACAGAGCCAATAAAGGACAAATCCCAACAATTATGACCAGAGTGTAACTGTAATGAGGTTTTATTTGAAAGCCAAATGGACTTTGACAAATAGCAGAATTTAGGGCTACAACGGAGTCAATTAAATTTCAATCCCCTCATTAGTGCAGAGGCAGGAGCTGACTTACCAGATTAATGATAATGAGCATTAATTATAACTGAGAGAAATTGGAGTCAAATAAAGAGGGAAAAGAAGAACACTACTGTCTTTTGCGCTGCTCATGTCAGGTTGATGTGAGATATATGAGATATTCAGAATATACCGTGAGGTCCAAAAGTCTTGGACCACCAGTGAAAATGCTTTTAGTTTGAATCTTTTAATTAAAAGAAAATCACAAGCATACCAATTCAAGTAAAAATCTTGTATAAATCCTGACAATTGTTAATGGAAGAAAGAACAAACGACTGAAATAGTGCAGAAAAAATCTGAAATCGCAGAAATAGTGCAAAATATTAAACATTTTGTCTTTAGGTTTTACCAATTTTTCTTAGTTTTACATTTCTCAACACCCCAAAACTGTGTTTATTTTCAAGTTTAAATCTGATCTTGGATTTCAGATTTTCAAAGTAGTCTCAGACTTTTGTGTCAAAATACTGGTATTACATGCATATGTAAATATTGTTGTATTTCTTGCATTTATAATTTACATGGCAACAATGGCTGTCTGGTATAAATTTTGGTTCCTCTTACTGAAAACAATTATAAACAAAAGAAATTGGGAAAAAGTAATATTTTCAGATGTTTCAAAGCAAATACATAAATAGTGTGATACACAGTACCATTCAAAAGTTTGGGATCACTGAGAAAGAATAATAATTTTATTTATCATTAAATTGATCAAAAGTGACAGTAAAAACTTCTCCTGCACATTATTAACAAAGATTTTTATTTCCATTTAAAATTAAAGCTTTTTTTTGTATTCATCAATGAATCCTGAAGAAAACAAAAACGAATCACACTTTGCACAAAAATATTAAGTAGCACAACCGTTTTCCACATTGATAATAATAAGAAATGTTTCTGAGCATCAATTCAGCATATAAGAATGATTTCTGAAGGATCATGTGACACTGAAAACTGGATTAATGCTGCTGAAAATTCAGTTTTACATCACAGGAATAAATTACACTTTAATATATATTCAAATAGAAAATGATTATTTTAAATTGTAAAAATATTTCAAAATTATTCCCGTTTTGACTGTATTTTTGATCAAATAAATGCAGCCTTGGTGATAATAAGAGTCTTCTTTCCAAAACCCTACCGCCCCTAAACTTTTGAATAGTAGCTGCATATCAAATCCTGTCAAAATGTTCATGAAAGCCACCTCATCAGGGGCTCCGCTGCCAGGGAAGAAGTTCCCATCATCGTAGCGATGGAGAGACACATACAGGACATTAGGGTCACTGTAGAAGGCCTGTTGAGTCCCATTTCCATGGTGAACATCCTAAAACACAACAGTGCATACAATTCATATGTCATCTGTTTGTTCTAGTGACCAAAACAACAATATTTGGTTAAACAATGTAAAAGTCATATGCTGTAAAAAGACATGTCGTCACTCGCATTGGAATGAAAAGCGTGTAAAAATCTATTCCGAGTCGTCTGAGATGCAGGAGGGCCTTTTAAGAGAGCTGTATTCTTTTGTTCATTTCTTTTCATGTCTGCCACTACACGTCACGGTCAGCTTCCCCGCATACGGCAGGTCTGTCAGAAGAGCCGTGTGACAGACAGGAGGAAATGAAAGCCATTTACAAGGCATCCAGAAACCCTAATGACCCCAGCAGAGCCCTGCGCATGTGACCCCGTTCAGACTACCGCTGGCCCAGGATCAGACGGACACGTCCCACATGCCATAAACTATTTTATTGCTTACATTTTTATTTTAATATTTCATTTACAAAAAGAATAAGTTAGTAAAAAATAAATTGATGCACTTTAAAATGTAATACATTAAATATTTGTAATGCTAACATAACCAGTGCTAATACAACCATATTCTAATATAACTAGTGTAATATTTTTTTAAATAATATTTTATACATCCTTTAAAAATAATAAATTTATGAAATTTAAAAAATTAATATTTTATGACTTAAGTAATATTCTAAATGAAACATGTTTCATTTTCAATAATGAATTAGTTTTTAATAATGGCTGCGTCCGAAAGCCTAGGCAGCTGACTTTGCAGGCAGCGTTTTTTGCACGAAGGCACCTCATGAAACTGATTTCGGACAGGCTTCTGAGGCAGCATAACGGTTTAATGATCTACAACAAAATAGAACGAGTTTTGATAACTAAACGAATATTTAATGACTATAATACTGATTTCTCGCTAGAAATAACATCAAAAGTGCAAAACGTTAGTCAGAAATATACATTTACACACAAACTGACCACCAAACGCAACTTTCAGACGCCATCTTTATTTTTTAGCTCAGCCGTCGAGGGATTGGAATGCACAGGATTGTGGGATATCAAAGGCAGCGAAGGATACATCTATGCTGCCTTCAAAATTTGATCAGAAGAAGGTACCTCCGGAGACAGGAAGTGAAGCAGAATTTGGATTCAGACATTCCTTGATGCCTTCCTGCCTTGGAATGCTGCCTCCGAAGACAGCATTTTAGCGCTTTCGGAGGCAGCAAATAAATACATTAATATTTTTAATATATTTAATACATTTAAAGTTTTGTAAATTATATATTTATAATGCTAATATAACAGTGCAAAATATTTTAACATATGTATTTTCCTGGTGTTTTATAAATATTAAATTTATGATGAATGATTATGATTTATTTATGATTTTTATTAAACATTAATATTTTACTATACCATTGTATCGCTACAGTATATAAAATATATATATTAGTGCTGTCAAACAATTAATCACAATTAATCACATCCAAAATAAGTTTTTGTTTACATAGTATGTGTGTGTACTGTGTAGATTTATTATGTATATATAAATACACACCCATGCATGTATATATTTAGGAAAAATATGTTACGTTTATATATTAAATATATTTATATATAATATAAATTAAATTGTGAAAATATTAAAATTAATATTTTTTTTTTCACTCACACAGCAGAAAACAAAAATATTAAACTGTGACAAAAGAATTAAAGAGTTAGAAAAACAGTTAAAAGAATTGCAAATGATGTTTGCGATTTTCTCTATTGTTATATTATGCACCAATGTCACTGTTTGAAAATGAGATCATTTGGTAACTCAGTGGCACAGAAATAGGAAAGGGGACATTTATTAATAGAGAAAATATGAACTGATTGAGTGTGAACTTACCCAGTCCACAATGAGAATCTTACTGACGTTGAGTCTCTGCTGCAGGAGTTTGGCTGCAATGGCGACCGAGTTGAAATAGCAAAATCCCCTGTTATTTGTGTCAAAAACAAAAGCAGAAAACAGCTTGTGAGAGAGAACACAGAAGTGGGGCAGTCAGCTGGTGTGTGATCTATTGTGGAGGGCCTGATCGTGTGCGTTTGTGAACTGGACCTCCTGGCCTGATGGATTGTCTCATTTCACTAATGACACTATTCACCCACTGCGTCCTGGCTTGACATCAGAGCGCAAGAACAGGGCCTGGCACCAAACCTCAGTCTGCTCCCCAAACACGCCATCCACGGAACAGTCCTTTTATTTAACCTTTCACCATAGAGACTGAGGAACACTCGTTTACTTTAACCTTTCCGTAATGAGGGAGACGCACTGGGAATAAAGATGGGAGGAGCGGCAAAGCTCGGCAATTCGAGGGAATTTAGTCCCCTGTTAACGATACCTGACATCAATTTGGATAAACCATCAAGCTTTAAGATAAATAAAATTGCATCCAAGTTGCCGAACTGAGCATTGAGGACGCCGTGTACCCAAACAGCTCAGACACAGAGTCTGAAGCGTGCAAGAAAATGCTTCCAGATCAGCAACAAATGCTACAAATACAGAGAGGGTCTCAAACTCTTACAAAATCAATTATGAAATCAGTTTTTTTTATGTTTCAGCATTTGGTCCGTAAAAAGAAGTGCTTAACCACCAGAAAATGTTGATTGACAAAATTGAGGTCAACTAATGGTCAATATTTGCAACTCTGTTACCACATGTCTAAATACAGTTTAAAACCTTTATTTTTTTTGTTATTATTGTTTTCTAGTAATATAAACTAAACATCTATCTATCTATCTATCTATCTATCTATCTCTCCATCCATCCATCTTTCCTCTATCCATCCATCTATCTCTCCATCATCCATCCATCCATCCATCCATCCATCCATCCATCAATCAATCAATCAATCTATCTCTCCATCCATCCATCCATCTTTCCTCTATCTATCCATCTATCTCTCCATCATCCATCCATCCATCCTCTATCTATCCATCTATCTCTCCATCATCCATCTATCTATCTATCTATCTATCTATCTATCTATCCATCCATCCATCCATCCATCCATCTCTCTCTCTCTATATACATATAAAGTTGATTTGTTGTTACACTTTAAAAAAACTTGTTCTGTAAAACTTTTATTTATATTTTTAAATATTTATATAAGGTATAAATAAAACAAAAATGAAATGCTTTACAAGAAAATAATTTCACTATATAATGTCAGTAATAGTTTGTCAGTAATACTTATCATTTCTTTGTAATTATTTGACATTTTCAAGCAATTTCTGAGTGAAGATTGTTTCAACATGATTGTTTTCAGTGCACTGATAAACATATTCATCCAGAAAAAGTATTTGTCTGATGATTTATTTTCTTACAATTAATTCAATAATTCTTGCCATTTCTTTGTAATTATTTGTTTTCTAGAAATTATTCATAAAAAGTATTCTGAATGATTTGTTTTCTAAACTTTTCTAGAAAGTGTTCTAGCAATTTCTGAGTGAAAATTGTTTCAACATTAATTTGTTTTTCAGTGCACTGATAAACATATTCATCCAGAAAAAATATTTGTTTAATAATTTTCCTTACAATTACTTGGGTAACAATGTTGAATGGCCGAGGTTGACAAATGAAGTCAGCATTACAATGTGTACAAATTGAGAAATGTTTCTCAGCAAATTATTCAAAAGTAACCATTTAAAAGATTCTTTCATTTGGAATAGAGACAATTTTGTGGTAACAAGGCTGTGACCAAACATGTGCCAGATTTTTTAATAGTCATATTTGTAATTTTTATTATACAGTATATAATCAAATGGATATAAGTTCAACACATTTTGAAAAAAATATATTTGATTTTACATTTAAATATATGCTTTTTATTTGTATTTTTTTTAGTTGTGTGTTCCCTGGGAATCAAAACTCTAAAGTCGAGCTATAGGAATCCCTTTCATTGTTCGATACAGAAAAGACACTCCAAACTCTACTTTACTCACAAAACATGCAGTTTCTAACACATGCTAGTCCTTCCAAATAAAACTGGCCTACTGTGCTGTATTCACCTCACCGATAATTTGCATGACTGTACTGAAGCCAGCGTGAGTGCTGGAAGCCCAGCCGGCCCACTGCACTGCTGGAATTCATTTATGTGAGAGGATAGTGTGTATCACACTGATTTCTGATCCTGTGTGTGTTTAAAGTGATGCTGATATCAGCTGTGGAGTTTATTTTGAGATCACAGAGAGACAGTAAGGACGTACATGGGAGTGCTCTCCTCAGCGTGATGTCCTGGAGGTCGTACCACAGCAAAGCCGTTCTGTGAACACACACACACACACACAC